AGAACAAACTGGTTTGTCCTGGAGAAGGGGAAAACAGTCTGCTCCTTGGAGGCAAGGATTTTGAAGCTTCATCTGACATATTTTGGGCATGTTTCAAGGAGGAACCAGTTCTTAGAGAAGGACATCATGCTTGGGAGGGTGGAGGGACAACGCAAGAGAGGAAATCTCTGCATGAGATAGATTGACTCAGTGACTGGGGTAATGGGGGCAGATGTGTCAGAGACAATGAAGTTGGCTCAAGATAAAGCAGGGTTCAGAGTTGTATATAGGGTCACTATGAGTTGCAAGTGGCTCGATGGCACATAACAACATCAATAACTTATATACTGAAAAAAATATGAATAGCAAAAAGAGCAAAAAAACATAAATACACTATAAAAAATGAGGAAAATATTAAGTCATTGCCCCAAGAATCAAATTATAAATATAGACATTATTTAAAAAAAAAAAATCTGAACAGTAGAAGTTCTTCACTATTAATAGAATAGAATAGAGATGATCAAGGCATGCTTTGAAAACAAATAAACCTGAGCATGCTACTGAGCCTAAAAAAAGTTCAATCTGGAGTATTTGAGTAAGTACTACTAGTTAAAGTTCAACCTCCTCGTTCCAGTTGGACTACTCAACTCAAGTTTGATGCTTTGAACTTACTCAACAGAGCCTCAGAAAATATATTATAGCCAAGAAAACTTATGGAGCACTTCTACTCTGTTGCCTGTAGCATACATATGGTGTTGTCATAAATTGGACTTGACTCAATGGCAATGAGTTTGAGGGTTTAGTGAAATTGTTTGTTTTAGCCTTTTAAAATATGCTTAAAGTCCAAATTGCACAAGCCTGTGACACAAACCTGTTAAAAGGTACTTATTTTCAAGCTGCTAAGACAATTGGGATCTTTGGGGAACAAAGGAGACCTTGGCAAATCACATGGCAGGATTAAAAGTCCTTTTAAATGAATGTTGCTATCTGGGGAATAACCTGTTCTTTCAAGCACAAATTTCAACATAATATAATCTTAATAGCTAAGCATGAAGCAACAGGCTTTCCCTAGTAATGACGTGAAGTGCAGGTAGTTAGCATTAAAAAATAATGGTTGACTTAGCAGTCAAATAGTTAATCTTTATTTGCTTGGTTAAGTGCCATAATTTCTCAAGGAAGGCCAATTTTAAAATGCCTTTTCTTTTTTATCATGAACTATTTCAGGGAAATACAATTTTCAGGGAAAAGTAAAACAATATTTTGAAAAAAGTTATCTATCTGAAACTCTTCCAGATTTACCAGTATAATTAACATCTAACATTGTGTCCAAGTAAAATAAATAGCATACAGTCAAGTGGTCTATCACTAAAGACATTAAAATGTAACCATTTAATATAAATAAACAGAACAAACTTTAAATTATTTTTAAACTCAAACTTCATGTGTATTTATATTGGGGCACTTTAATCATACTTTATTTGAATTTTTAGAAACTGATGTTTATGTGTATACACACACACACACACATATACACACACATATAATAAGGCTGGGCTCTATGAGGAGAAATGTGGCATCAGGGTTGGAGGAAGACTCACCAACAATCTGCGTTGTGCAGATGACAAAACCCTGCCTGCTGAAACTGAGGAGGACCTGAAGTGCTTGCTGCAGAGGGTCAAGGACTGCAGCCTTCAATATAGATTGAAGCTCAACAACAAGGAAACAAAGATTCTCAGCACTGGGCTGATTGAAAGCATCATAATAGATTGTGAAGAGATTGAGCCTGTTAACAGCTTCAGTGTGCTTGACTCCACAATCAACACTTGGCACCAGCAGCCAGGAAATAAAACGTTTTTTCGTTGGGAAAGTCTACTGTCAGAAACCTTTCCAAAGAACTGAAGAGCAATGATGTCAGTCTGAAAACTAAGGTACACCTGGTACAGGCTATGGTCCTTGCAAGCAATTCCTATGCATCAGAGAGCTGGACAATGACTAGGGATGATAGAAGGAGAATCAATGTATTTGAGCTGTGGTGTTGGAGAATAGTATTGAATATACCATGGACTGCTAAGAGAATGAACAGATTTGTCCTGGAGAGAGTTAAATCGGGATGCTCCTTGGAGGCAAGGATAATGAAGCTTTTTTGTCTGACATACTTTGGACATGTTACAAAGAGGGACCTCAGAGAGTGACATCATCCTTGGAAGGAGGGAGGCACAGCTCAGGAGAGGAAGACCCTCGATGAGATGGATTTATTCAGCTACTGGGTTAATGGGGGTAAGGATGGCAGAGATAGTAAGATTGGCACTGGATAGAGAAGGGTTTAAGACTACTGTATATAGAGTCGCTATGAGTCGCAGACAATTCGACAGCATATAACAACAACAACAAATATATATGTGTGTGTGTTTGTGTGTGTGTGTGTGTATTAGATTAAGCAAATATTCAAAATCTAGATTGTATAATTCATTTTTAAAAAAATATAAAGCTTTAATATTTAATATATATGTTGCAAGGAGGGGCCGGTCCTTGGAGAAAAATGTCATGCTTGGGATGGTGGAGGGACAGCGCAGGAGGGGAAGACCCTCTATGAGGTGGATTGATTCAGTGACTGGGGTAATCGTGAGATTGGCCAGGACAGAGCAGGATTTAAGGCTGTTGTACATGTCGCTATGAGTCCCAAGCAACTTGACGGCACACAACAACAACAACAACAACAACATTAAGTTGAAAGATCTCATTCTTTATCTGCTATTGTTCTTGTGTTCTAATAATTGACTGATAGCTGATCTGCCAGCTGGTTTTCAAAGACTTGAAAGATAAATTGGCACAGTGTACCCGGCAATGAACTTAAGAGTGTAGGGATGATAAGTATGGCATAGGATAGTACAGGGTTCAGATCTGTTTGTTACCTAACAACAACAACAACAACAACAAATCACAAAGGAAGATATTTCTTTCTTTCTCAGACCCACTGGTGGATTCAAACTGCCTGCTTTTGAGTTGACAGCACAAATCTTTTCCCACTCAGCTGTCAGAGCTCCCTATCTGTTAAATAACATAGGTATGTAACACTTCTTCATGGCATACATAACCTTCAGTATTTTCAGTAATCATTTGTAGTATCATACTGTAATTATAAAGGAAAACTGGAACTTGGTAGTAGAATATCTTGCAACCAAACTCCCTGGTAATCAGAAGATATTTCCAGGTGTTTGTTTTTCTCTATGGCCTGGTTTTAATTACTTTCGGTCAAACATTCTTCTAAGTGATATAGCACTGGTCTGTCCATTTGCTGTACAGAAGTAACTCATGGCTGCTGTGATGCTAAACACTGTGACAGTGATGTGTCAAATGCGATAATGGTTACCCACGGTGGGCAGTGAGTGTTTGGTGAAGCTCCCTGATTAAAACAAGTTTGGAAGCAGGTGTGGCATCCACTTCTGAAATAGCTTGCCTCCAGAAACTCTATGAACTTGAAAAAACCATGAAAATTATACAATTGCTCAGGTCTTTCACTCATAGGGTTGCTCTGAGTCGTCTACAACTTGAAGGCACTTAACAACAACATGATGAAAGAATTATATTCACCTGAGGCAGAACTCCTCAGCAATACTTTCTAATTGCAATGAGGGTTTTCTCTGTTATGTTAGGATATAGAATTAGGATGCTGAAATGAAGGTTTTTACTTATTTTTTTTTTTAAAGTGTTTCCTTGGCGAAAAGTAAGATTTCCTTTTTAGGGTGTTGATGGAAGCCAAGAGCTGGTGTGACTTGTAGTTCTTCCTTGTGGTCGTCATTGATGGAAAGAGATCTCAATCTCAAGATAAGGCTTACATAGATACTTTCACTATCTTAAAAAGAGACTGGAAAAGTTTGTCATAAATTTTGTTCTCATCAATTATTATGGCCGTAAACCAGCTTGCTAACCCGAAGGTGGCACTTCTCTGGCAGTTCTAATCCACTAATAACTTCAAGGAGAAAGATGAGCAGTTTCCTACCATGAGATTTACAGCCTCTGAAAATCCTTTGGATGTTCATCTGTGAGTCAGTGTAGGCCAGAGGGCAAGGAGTTTGAGGGTTTTTTTGGTTGTGAGTTTGCATTCTCCAAGGAGTAAGTGCTTGGCATTCAGTAGATGTGGACTTTTGTTTGAGGAGTTAATGAATGAACAAAGAAAAAAAGTATGAATGAACATGTCCGAGGATAAATGAATGAACGAATACAACTTTAAGGTTTTAATTCTACAAGACAAGTAAAAGCGCAACGTTTGCTGGTCATCCTTGGGGACACAATCTAAATTGTTTCTTCATCGGCCTGTGGAGGCTGACCGGGGAATCTGTCTGGCTGCATCTTGTCACTGAGTGGTCCCCAGTCTCTGCCAAAAGATAAGTACTGTCAACAGCTCAACCCAGTAGCTTTCAAAAATAGCATAGTTGATGAAACTGGAAATTTGGGTGCATGCTAGAAGTAACCAGTTGTCTTTCATCTTAAGAAGAGTAGGCTGATGATAGGCATTCCAACAAGAGAGCAGAAGTCATTTAAAAGGCCCATTTAGACAAGCAAATAAGTACCAGAAGAGAAGTCTTCACCCCTGGGTGGGCATTAGCATAACAGATCATTTTCAATGAATGAATCATTTTGAAAATTTGAACATGCTGGACAGAAGCTATGTTTCTTTAAGATTCCAGTAAAGTTTTAACGTTTTGTCTGGGGTTTTGGTTTTTTGTTTTGTTTTCAGTAGTGCTGGCAGTGTTCCCACAAAATTTAAATGAATATTTGCACAATGAACCAAGTTGTTCTGGGTTTCCTGGTTTCTGGATTTGTTGTTCTTTTTTTTTTTTTCCTTCATAGGTTGTAGGGAGGGGGGTGATTTGGCGCTGCGTTTTCATCCCATTGCAGACAACTCCGGCTGCTGTTGGGCTGAAAATAGCTCAAATGCTCTCAGACCAGTAGCACCACCCAGCAGCTGGGATTCTTTCCCTCTCTTATTTGCCTTCTCTCTTGCGTTTTTCCCCCTTCAGATACTTGGATGGGACTTAATCTTAAACCTTTGGAGTTCAAGACCTTTTAAAAAGGGCTAAATAAACAATCTCTCCATGTGAAAGGCCACTGACTCCTACTTCCTCTGTTGAGAGCAACTTTTGAAGTCAGCTGCCTGGTAGGTAAGAGTTTTTTATTCTCGAATTATTTAATTGGTATATGATATGTTTGTGACTAATGTTTTAAAATAACTTATTTATAGTTAAAATAAACTGGGGCTGCCAGCAATTTCCAGGTGAAAGTTGTGTCCCAGGACAGCAATCGCATTCGTGGACTTTGGTGATTGAAGTCTTAAGCGTTGTTTAAAGCTCGCTATAGTACTGACCTGTACAGACCAGTGTGGCTGAGCAGTGGATCAGAACTCCAATTAAGCCTGATTGTCAGGCCAGTAAGGGGACCTTTCAGACATCATAATTTAGTTGTTTAGACTGGTTACTTATTTTTAACTTTCTAAGAACATTTATAAAAATAAGGAGATGCATCCCCCTGAGTTAAGGAAAGATATATACATATAGTTATTTTTTAGGATAATGAGATAGCTGTAATAGATTTTGTTCTCTCTTTTATGAGTTTATTAATTGCTACTTTGAAATTAGGACTTTCCCCCCACTTGGCATATGTTCCTGCTGTAGTTTAGGTGACTGATTTTGTATTCCTATTATTATTATTTTTTGGGAACACTTCAACTGTTTGTCTTTTGCTAGGGACAGCCACTGCCAGATTTCTCTGATGTGACATTATAATCTTCTGTGCCTCTGCTCTCTCCTCCTCCTTATTCTTACTCTTGACATTTTGCAGAGTACTTTGATCTGTGGACTTTAACTTCAAAACACAGCATTTACTTTGATTGTGGGTATTTACTACATTCAATAAAGAGTTTTCTCAGCCTTTTTGGGGGAGAGGTGGTTAATGCTTTGATAACATTTCCTTTTAACAATTTAGTGGGGCTTTGAATCTTTTCACAGCTGTAATTTTAGATTTTACTAAATTTTACTAAAATTGCCCCTAACTGAAAGGACAAGCTAGTTTTATGGCAAGATTCTTGCGTTATATAGACTTTATGACAACTTGTTGCTCCACTCTGAGCAGATGTCTAAAAGCAAGTAGCAAATGACAGTGCGCAAACCAAATTATATCAACCCTTCACCTGCATGTCCTCCTGCATGATGACCATGTGAGGCCTCACTCATGCTTTCTCTAATATCAGTACTGAAGCCTTTGGAATTTCCAGATTTTTTCCCAAATATCACAGAACATATTTCAAAACAAAACATGCATTTTTAAATATACTATGATCTTCTGGGTAACTAATGAGAGAGAGAGAGTGTGTGCAAGGGAGAGAGCAAGCAAAGAAAAATTAAGTTAAAGGATAGCCAGAAAGAAAAATTCAGTAGCCAAAAAGTCTGCTATATAAATGAGGGGCTATTGTGTGAGAGATAAGGAAGAAAAAGAAATGAAAGCTGTATTTCCAAAGACAGGCAAAATGTAGCACTTTTTAGCCATTCAATTGACTTTAAAATATTCTGTTTTATGAAGAACTCATGTGCAAATTACATTTGCTATCCTTATTTTTCCCCACACCAACCATATTTCTGAGAAGTGTTTCTGAAGTCCTCAGATACCAAGCTTGATGGCTCTTGTCCAACTGTCCATACTTGTTGTGTTGAGCGTTAGGAATAGAATGAGCCTAATCCTGTCAGGAGACTGCTTCAATCCCAGTCAAGGACCTTGGCTGCTTGGAACAGAGGAGCTGACGCAGTCTGTTCCCTGACCCCTGCACCTTGCTAAGAAGAAAGACTGTGGGCATAGGACACGTTTTTTTTTTCCTAAGGGGCACAGTTTTCAGAAAGGCCTCTCCATATTAGGAGCACATGCAATTTGATCCCTGAGAATTTGGATTAACAATAGGAAGCCCTCTAAATCTCAGCCTTAATGTTTTACTTCCAAACCTCTATATTTAATGACTGACTTTCCTTGTCCCATCAAATCTGCTTTAGGGAGCACATGAATCATCGTATTTTTAGCTCCCCCAGCTATTTTGAGCAAGTTTTCCAGCATTTGAGGATCTATAATGATTCTCCCAGTTCAGTACCGGGAAGCCTAGATCTGAAGATACTAAGCACACTTTTATAGCTAAAGACAATTTTATCCCCAGAGTCAAAAGGCACAAGGATGGAATGGAATTGGAAGGTGATAGACAATCATTCCCTTGGTACACAAGCCATTCCTTATCTGTCCTTTTCTTCACTCCCCCCTTTGTTTTTAATCTATTTCTCTTCACCCCTTAATTTTACTTTGAAACTTTGAACTGTTTCAATGTGAAACTCAAGGTGAAACCCAGCCAAGGCCACTGAGTTTCACACAGGTTCTGCATGAAAGAAGTATTCTACCCAGCCTTGCTCGAAACTTGGCCCATGTTTGCCAAAAGCTTCATGAATGTCAGGGAAACATAATCCCGAGCCAGGTGACTTCTGGCGGCTTTGAGGCTTTATTGTATAAGTATAGAATCTGTCAAACAAGCACATTTCTTATTTTCATGTCTTCTACTGGTAATTTAATGTATACTCACATAATTTCCCAATAAACCAGTTTCCAACCTAATATGAATTTTTATAGCTGTGGTATTTAAGCAGTAGATAGAAGTCTCCATTTTCAATTCCAACACAAGCCTGAGCCACAGTGGTGTGAACGTGCTGCTATAATTCAGCTGAAGGAAGAAGTCCCTGGAGAGTGGTGGAATGTCTTTCTTTGCTTAAATATACCTCTGTGCTCGTGAGGAACAAACAGTAACATTTTGTCCAGGTCTGTCCGCTTGACAGTGTACCTTTTGTTCGCACTCCAAAGGTGGTGTCAAATATATTGGTGAAAAAATAATAAACTTCCAGATATTTTTTTCCCTCTCCTGCTCAACTGATATACACCTAGGGAACATTGTAAGCACTGAAAACCTCGGTACTATTACTTGTAAGGCAATGTATACAGAGAAGAAAGGAGTACTCAAGAGAGTCTGTTTCCCTCAGAAAAGCGTGGTGACCTAGAGCTGATGTGTGTTAACAGTCAAATGGGGCCAGTTTGTAGGGATGACTCTGTGTGTGTCTGTGTGTGCCTTTCTGTGCTGGATGAGAGTAATGGTGGGTGGAGAGGAAGATGGCATTTGTAAGCTTTGTTCAACAAATCTGTCACATCTAAAACAAAATCCATCAAGCCCTGGATCTGAAAGCAGGCATTGCTTTTGTTGATCACATAATTCTGTATTGGCTGAACAGTGTAGTTATTATTACTATTTTGTATTTTGTTTCTCATTAAAGACATTGAGGATTTAATTTTCATATTAAGGTTCCAGAAATAGTAAATAATCTTTATTCAAATTCTGATGAATCAGGAGACCTAAATAGTTACAGAAGAACTTGCATAAGCCAGGTTGAGAAAGAGCTTCCTGGCCCTATGGTGTTGTGCACTGCACATATCCACTGAGTATATTAAGGTTTCCTTTCATTATTATCTTTGTTAGAGGATTTCTGAACTCATTAGAAGAATCCTTATAATAAATGAGCTTGTTACCTTTCTGAATGAGCTTGTTACTCATTCACCAACTAGCCTACTAAGTCAATGAATGAGTAATATTTCTAAATCTGCTCATTATAAAATGTAATTGCCATAAAATTTCATTTAGAAAATTTCATAGTCACATTTTATATAATAAAGGATTATTTTTCTCAAAAAAATGGCAAATTACATTTTAGCAGATGGCTTACAAGATGACCTTCTCTTAGGAGAACAGACCTTTGAGAAGCTAATTATAACAAAACGTGGAATTCTGTGTGTAGGAGAAATATTTCATACCGTGTTAACAGTATACATGGTTTTGAAATCCCAAAACTAGTAAGTACAATGAGCAAGGATCTCTGGTGGTGCAGTCATATGGAGTTGTCCCTCAAAGTAACACCCCTCTGACATTTCTAATCCACAAGTGGCTCCTTGGCAAAAAGATAGTCTTTTCCTGTGCAATTGGCAACCTCCAAAAATCCAGTGGAGAGTTGATTCTGACTTGTCCACAGTAAGTTTTCTGCAAAGATTTGCAGCCTGAGAAACATTGTCAGACAGATATATTCTGTTCTGTACATTGACTGTAAATTGGAGTCAACTTGACAGCAATGATTCAGTTTGGATTTGCCTTTTCTTTCTAAGGATCCCACGTGACATAGGCAGCTCTGGTGGCCTACTGGTAAGAAGTGGTGCTGCCAACCCAAAGAGAGGTAGTTCAAATCTATCAGAAACTCTGAGAGAGAAATGTAAGCAGACCCCCCCACTCCTGTGTGACTTACTACCACTGAAAGCTCACTGGAGGCTCAGCTATGAGTCAGTGCTATCTCAATGGCACAACAACAACAAAGTGACATAGTGGGTTACCTGTTGCATTGCTAATTGAAAGGTTAACAGCTAGAATGCATCAGCCACTCCACTTTGTAGGCGATAGAAGGGCAGGCTCCTAACATAAAGATATACAGCGGTGACAATCCAATGGAAGGGCACCTTGAGTCAGAATCAACCCAATAGCAGATTTAATTTGCTTTGGTTCCTTCTTTTTGAAACAAAGTCAATTAGATATAATCAAATTTGGTTTTTCTTGTTAAGTTTGATCAAAGTTAAAATTCATTGTTTTTCATTTTGTTAGATCTGAGAATATTGTGTATTATTTACAATATCTGCCAATACTCATAAGTGAAAAGGAAATTCATTTAGCAATACTTTCACCAACTGTCATAAACTCACTCATTGCCAGCAAGTTGGAATTGACTGAGAGTGAACCCTAAGCTCTAAATCTAGAAAAAAAGCTGTAAATCTAGAAAATCTATGGGAGTGGAATGTCCACTTTTCTCCTGTGGGGCATCTGGTAGATTCGAGCTGCCAGAGAACAGCCTTTGGGCTAAAAGCACAACTCCCTTATGGACAATGCAAACAGAACTCCTACCTTCAGCTACCAGATGTAAGATGTAGATGCAAGATGTGCCTCTTCCATATTAACAGCATGAGGGAGAGTCAAATGCTCACATCCAGAGGAGTTTGGCCAGAAGAGGATGGAGTGCTGGAGAGACACGCAAGTGCTACAGGAGCACAGAGC